CCGCTGAGGCTGCGTGTACCCTCGGTCGCTCCGTGCTCTGGGGTCGTGGAGCTCCCGCCCCGCAGCGCTGCCCTCGGGCCTCGTCCGCGCCGGCCGAGGTCACGGCCGGGGACAGCGTTCCGTGACTATGTGTGGTCACTGCCGGCAGTGTGGGCTGGAAAACCTCCCGTGAAAATACTAAATGGCATCTGCACACTGCACTTGTTAGAGCAGCAGTTACATCTTTGAGCAGAAAACGTGTAACAGCTGCTTTCTCACTGCGTGCAGCCCAGGCTGCAAGTGCTTTGCATCTCACGGTGTTTCAGAAATCTAACGTGCAAATAAGAAGCTTTTGTTAAGACTGTGAGACCTGCCCTGTTAGCTGTTCAAATCATAGAATCAACCTGATTCTAATAAAACACTTCTGTATCTCAGATTGAAATAGGATTGTTTATACCCCATTCAATATTTTTTTTTTCTGTCTTAGGAAGTTCATTGCTAGGCTGCCAGATAAGGGTAAGAAGATCTCTGATTTTGCTGAGAAGCTAAAGCTTGCCATTTCACAAGAGGAAGAATTAGCCAGGACGGCTGAGCTGTTATCTGCTGTCAGGTTGGAGTTTCAGTCGAAACAGGAGGAGATTAGTACAACCCAACAGCAAGTTGTACTAAACAAGGACACAGAGAACTGTGAGGATCCTTCAGTCTTTAATGGAAACTCTAATATTAAAGAAGTGTCTGAGATCTCTTCTGAAAGGCAGGAAGCAGAAGGTATTGAGGAAGATGCCACAGGTACAACTTTGGAAAATCAAAGGACTCAGAGGAAAAACGATAAAGTAAAGACTGTTACAGAAGATCAGAATGATGTTTGTGAAGTCGTGTCCAAGCCAGTCATGGGCAGTGATCTGGAGAAGGACCAGCAGGTCTCTCAGAGCAGTGCTGTGGGTGGTACAGAAAGTGCAGCTGTTCTGGACAACAGTAAAGATGCGTTGGTTGATGCTTTTCAAAAAGTCACAATTGCAGATGGGGATAATAGTGAAAAAGTACTGGAAAAAGAACAGAATGTGGCTAAACATAAGGGCAACGTGTTTGGAAGCCTGCATCCCAAGACACCACATTATATTGAAGTCCTAGAGGCTAGAGCCAAGAACCCAGTCGTAAAAAAAAGCAAATTTAAAACAAATGTGTAAGTATTATGGAACAGAAAAATCTTTTGTGAGATGCTTGTCATGCATAAGATTGGAAATGGTACAGAATAAGCATAGTGGCTGATTTCTGGTAATGATGAAAGAGGTTTTATGTCTCATGACATAATGTGTTAATGTATTGTCTCTTTAGCACTAAGTGCCACAGAATCTTGATATTGAGCAGGGATCTAATTCTACCCATTTGAAGCAATGGTCATGAATCTTCATAGGATTTCCTAGCTTAAGCTATGAACTGTTATACAATTGGCAAAACTCTCTTGTGGATCAGTTCTAGGACTTCCAGAACTTTAATAGCAGGAAACTGTTTTTCCTACACTTCATGTTGTCTGCAGTGGTAGCAGTAGCAGTTTGTACTTCCTGTGACTTCCAAAGCATTGCTATTTCAGCTTGCTGATGGCATACCTGCTTTGTTCACTATCAGGAGTAACTTCTGATACTGTCTCTCTACAGAGAAATAGTTTATCTGAGTGTTGCTTATTTTTGATTTGTTTACTTTTTCAAAATACTTCAGACTTGGCTGTTACATGTTAAAAATAAGTTTTGGAATTGAAGTTGTTCAACCTTGTGCTGAAAGTTTGGGTCACAATTTAGATGTTTTATGTCTTCCAGATTACCAGGAGAGCATAGTGGATCATCACATGGTTCCTCATCCAGTCGATCACCTGGAGGATTTGGTTCTCCAATTACTGCTGAAGAAAGACGACTCAGAGATAAGAAACATTTGGATGACATCACAGCAGCTCGACTGCCTCCACTGCACCACTCCCCTGCTAAGCTGTTATCCATAGAGGAATCCATAGCAATTCAGATACAGCAAAAAGAAGCTTATGAGGTATGAATTTACTGTTTGGTCTTCAAATACTAATAGCACAGTTATATATAAGTGTGAAAAGAAGCCTGAAATTTCTTTGCTAGTTACCAAAACTTACAATTAAGCCCACCCTGGCATTACTGACATTATAGTGTCAAGTGTATACTTTAGTATATTAGTTTTTTTCATGACCATAGTAAAAATGGCAAACACTTTTCCTAACTTGTATCCTTTTTCTTTCTCACACAGGAAATGCAAGCCAAGCTTGCAGCACAGAAGCTTGCAGAGAGACTGAATATAAAAATGCTCAGGTTTGAACCAGAGGGGGAGGCCTCAATGCAGTACAGAGAAGTGAGAGATGAAGATTATTTTTCAGCAGAGGACTGAATTCAAGAAGGGATGTCTGAGGATGAGCTGTGTAACTGATCTTTATGCAGTCCTTTTTATAAACCCAAACCTGAATGCTTGATCTAGTCAGTTTTTTCTTAAAATTTTCACGTTATAGCTCTGGGAAGTGTTCAGTGTAAACCTCATAAATATCTGTGTTGCTAAGTGGTAACCCCAGTGTTATTTGGGGACTGTTTTTTGAAAACAGATTTTGAGCAGTCAATCCTTGTGGGATGCCCCATATTTTTCAGCTTTAGCAAAGTGAGCTTTTTAATACACTTTTGCAGGCTATGTTGGGTCGTTTACAAGAGGTTTCTTCTGTGCAGAAATGTGATTGCAAAGGGCATTGGCACACGTGTCCATAAAGTAAGCTAAGATGCCAGTGAACTACCCAGATTAAGGAAAGGTCTTGTCTTGTATAAATGTGAGATACTTCTTTTACCTATTTAAGATTCTTACTTTTGCTGTGTGGTGAAAATACATGCCCAGACAGCTACAATACATATGTGATAATTCGGCTGTAAATTAGCTTCTTATCACACAAGAACTTGTTTCTGTGCCTGCTCCTTAAACAACTGTTTCTGTTCATATGTTGTAAATAGGTAAGAATTTCAAGTTATTTTGTACCTCAAGTTCTGTTTGGGCTTTAAGGGACTCTGCTGTTTCGTTTTTGGTTGTTACAGCAAAGCACATCAAGATGTCAGGTTAGTCTGAAGACTTCAATATTTTTATTAAAGATTTTGATGGTTTTCCTTATTTTTGTACACTGCTTTCATACTTTTGAATACTATTTTTTCATGCTTCAATACTGTAAATGAAGAGATTCCCCATCTGGTTTTCTGGGGCAAAATGTTCTGTGTGTTTTGAAGTTCTAGCTGTTCTTTGATGAAAACCAACCTTCCTTACAATAACATTTTCTGCCTTTTAACATGAATTCTGAAAGATAAAGAACACATCTGAGAAATATTTCACAATGATATTCTGTTGCTGACTAGGATATTCCAGGCATAGTTTGAGTTCAGTTCTAAAAAGCAAACCTCAGAGATTCTTCATATAGCCTGGCAACACCTGTTTTCCAAGATTTTGCAGCACCTGTGTGCACAGGGCTGTTCCTGTACATATTCCTGCAGGAGTGCTGTCTCTGGAAACCAGGGGTGCTCCAGCTGCAAGTCATTCAAAAAGCTGCACAATATTATCTAGAAATGGGGGAGGAAAGTCACTGCCACTTATTGAGTGCATGCAGCCCTTTACTAGCAGGCAGTAATTCTCTCCCACGTGCTCCACAAGCTCTTCCAGGCAGTCCCTGTGGCACAGCCCATACCCTGGCACTGCAGTTTGATAGGTGGAACTGCTTCTAAGCTAATATGTGGTATTTTTTTTACTAGGTCATCCTTGCTCTTGTAGCCTCTCTCTCACAGCCTTCTTGTTCTCATTGTTCATTGGCTTCTTATTAGCTGTTCTTTTCTCATAAGACTTAGATCCTGTCACTAAAAAAATGTATATTCTGCATCCTGCACCACCTGTTCCTTTTCATATGACATATTGCTGCCTGTATCTGCATTTAACTTCTGCCACATGTCATGGATCCTCCTGCCATTGCTGTCTAATCTTGCTTTCTGGAACTCCATCTCAATACCAGCTGTGCACCTGAGCACCTTCTGTGTACCTCAGTCCCTTGAATATCTTGCAGAGACCTGAATGCCTGTGTTTTTACCACAGTTGCCCTCCTACTGAGGCTTTCTTATTTCCAGTTTTGGCTTCAGAGTCTGTAGGTGTTTGCCACTTCCAGGCCTTCTGACCTTTTTACTACCTTTTCCTGTTCTTTTTCCCCCTCTCCTCTCTTTTCTGTGCTCCTTCCTCCTCTCAGCTTCTCTCTTTTCTATACTCCTGCATCCTCCCAGCTTCTCACCATCACTTGCCTTTGTTAGCACAATTCTTTGACATGTTTTCAATCATTCATATTCATCTCTCAGCATCCATGTTGATGACCCAGTTGATTTTCAGTTGTATCTATTTCTGTTCAGCCTGTAGCTCTGAATCCACAGGCCATTAGAGTGCTCTTCTCTTGTGGATGCAGCTCATCTCTCAGATCACTGTTGTCCATGCCACCACCTGCTTGGCCAGCTGCATCTTCTTACCAGTCCTCCCATTGTTGCAGTCTGTTGTACTGCTTAAGGACAAGCAGCCTCAGAAATGTATTGGCTTTCCCTTTGCTTTTGCATGAAGCACAAGTTACCACTTCCAGGCTGTTTGCATCTCTTCCCCTTGTGCCTGTGCTGACTGTGCTGTCACACCTTTTTAAGATGCTGTGTGTGTTTTCTCCATGCTGGCTTTTCTGTGCTAAAGGAATTCACACAAAGCTATAGATTAGCAATTTGTTTTCTGGAGTACTGAAATCTATCTCAACATAAGCTTCTGCTGACCACTCTTGCTAACTAAAACTGTGCTCTTGTGCTGGTAAGGCTCATTTTTGCTTTCTAAACTCTGTGAAGCAGAAGCAGTTTTCTTGATCTTCATTTTGTTAGTATTCAACATGTTGGACCTTTGCCAAATCCCCTGAATAGGCAAACGTAATCCCTACAGGGTAGGGGTGGTGGCAATCACTCTAGTAACAGGTGAAGTTCATCAGGTATTTGTTAAATAATTAGCAGCTGCTCAGCATAGTGTTGGGCAGTCCTTGTGGAGCAGTGTGTTGTGTGGCTGCAAAACCAAGCTTAAGGTAAGAATTTTAAGTTATTATTAAAGTTTTGTATTACTGCAGAACCTGGAAGCTCTCCTGGGAGGGTTGTTGGTTGTGAGCACAGATATGCACTTTGAAAAAGCAGAATCAGGTATAAAGAGAGTCCCATGTGAAGGAGAATGTGCACTCCAGACGTTTGTGAAAGGTTAAAGAATAAGAGGATCATGGAATGATTTGTTGGATGATAAAAGAATGAATCACAGAATGGTTTAGTCATACTGGAATATATTTCTGATTGAGTATGGTGTTTTTGTTGTGTACTTCACTGTTATCTGGTTCCACATCATTTCAAAATGTACATTGAGTGTTGAGGAGCTTGTTCCCTGTTTTGAGACCGGGCTGTTCTGTTGGAATGGGCTGTTAACACAGTAAAAATAAAGAATTGATAAAATGTTTCTTAAGCTCCTCGTGTGAATAAAGTTTTGTTTTGACCGTGTGAAATTTAGAGGAAAATTGGAACTCTTTTGCTTCAGTGCTTCACAAGGGAAACACTGGAGATGGAGTTAGGGAACAACTTACATGAGGAAGGAAAACTTCTGGGAATGCAAGTGGTTGAGGAAAGACCTTTAAGACCTAAAGCTGGCCAGTTGTGCAGGTCTGAGAGATGGCACAGAGAGAGCTTACATGGTCTCCTGCAAGTTGGAGAGCTGTAGTATGTTTGGCAGGTACCTGTGCAGCAGCAGCTGTAGTCCCTTGATTTCTGTATTGCTGGGCATACCTGATTCCCAAACTGCACAGAAGCAAAGTACTGTAATAGAGTTTCTGTTTGTAGCTGTAGGCTTTCCCAAGGGAGAGCATGTGCAGTCTGGTTTGCCAGCTGTGGTGATAACATGATCTAGAGGATTAGGCACCTAAAAATTTTATGCTAAGGATCTGGGAAATAACATTTGAAAGAAGGAGGACCTGAATGTTGCTCTACTTTATGTTTTGGGGGGACTGTAAGAGTAACTAATGGTAGAAAAGATACATGAGCTTTGCCTGGGTTTTAGAGTTCTGTTAGCAGTTTTCTGTCTGTTAGTTTGTGGACTACTTCTGAAGGCCATGTGACAAAAAAAAGTCAGTGACAGTAAGCTGTGAGCTCCTGTGTGCAGGAAATGGGGCCTGTGAATTGAGAGAATCTAGAAACCACAGCTCTGTGCTGGGGAGTTTCTGAATGTGCCACAGGGACACAGTACCAGGAGTCAGGGAAAATAATATCCAGACAGTACAGACTGATGAATCAAAGCTTGAGGGGGAGCCATGGCAAAAGCTGGTCATGCTCCATGAGCATTCCCAGGTAGTAGTACTTTCAGGGTTTTCGTGTGGAACTCGCAGACATTCTCCTATCACAGACACACCACAAGCTGGCAGCCTTTAGCAGCCTTGCAGGGGAGGTAGGACCTGAGCAGCCTGAATTGTAGGTGTGGATCTGGCCAGCTGGTTTCTTTGTGCAGCTCCATTGCAGAGCTGGTTCCCTGGATCCAGGAGGCTGACTGTACATCTCGGTCGTGTACTATGATGAGTTTTGCTGGTGTAAGGTCAGAACACTTTTGGCACAATCTGAGTGACATCTGCTCATCATCAGCCTTGAGCAAGTCAGTGCCTGCATGGAGTGTACTTGGGCCTGGGAAGTAAAGGGGAATTAAAATTGGCCTTTTATAGTAAATTCATGGCATAAAGGGGACAAGAAATGGGAGTCCTGTGTTGAAAGAAGCTGTGGACTCTGCTGTAGGAAAAGGTGTCTTTTGTCACCTTGGCCAGCTTTGATTCTTTTTCAGAGCAGTATGAGAAGTATAATTTATCCAAAGTATTTTGTAAGGACAGATTTTTCAGGGAGTAGGTCTTGCAAGGTGTGGCCTTGTTCCAGGGAGGTGCTAGATAACCTGTGTTTTCCCTTAGCCTGTGGTTCACATTTTGTTCCAAGTCTGCTGTTAGGGTGGTATAGGTGGAGATCACCATTGAGATTTCCTGGTTTCTTAATGTTTGGCTTTAGGTTGTGAACTCCCACATTATGGGAGGGAAAGGGAAGTAGTAAAGACAGCTGTGTGAAAACAACACTTGGTTTGTTGTGGTATTTTTTTTCTTTTTCAGTCAGCTAATGATTGTGTTTTATTCTCATACTCTGCAGCTCTGTGTCACTACTGCCACTGTGGGAGGCAAATGTTAGCTGACTGCAGCCCAAACATTTTACAGTCACATTGACTTTCCATGGCATATGGGTGCTTAACTCCATTTGACTCCTTTGTAAATACTGTAATGATTTTTATGTATGCAAAGCTTTAGAGGCATTTAGTCATCTCTTGTTTAAAGCAACTGTTTTGATCATTTGGTTATTAAGGTATTATTAAATTGGCCCCTGATTTGGTGAAGCTTGAAAACTTCACTGTGGTGCTGAACTGAAGTCAAAGCTTGATTCCTCTG